GTTCTATGTCACTGTTTCACACTGCTTTGTACACATTCGTCCATCAGTTCCTATTGGTTGTCCATTCACTTGATACAATTTTACATAAAAGACCCAGACCAATGCCCTGTCAGGCTGTTTTGTCCTTGAGCCGGCTTGACCTAGTTTTAGACCATCATTTGATCGATTGATGTGTTCTCACGATCATGCACTAAATCGTTAGCCCGGTACCGATCCGCACGCTGTCGTCTGTGTTCTGATTTCTTTTGTTCGATTATAGACCCACAACAATATTGTGCTTAGCGTTACAACTGGAATTCTGTATCAGCACAAACTCATTCACCCTTGTTGAGGAAACTGATATTTCCAAATTGTTTAGTTTATTCTAGTTTTCCTCTCTTTAATGTTGAACGAAAATTTATGGAAGGAGTGAAGTAGACAGACTAGGGGCTAGGTTATGCGAATGCCGTGTAATGCAATGGAAAAGAGAATATATAAGCCACAGTTGTGGGAGTTGAACACAAAACCACCGGTGCAAAGTGAAATTAATCGATGTCGCTTGACCACAAAGGTTCTTCGGTAGACTCATTCAGCTTAAAGAAGAATTGAGTGTTACACTCCCTTGATGCCTATGTGAAAATTGTTGCTTGACTTCACATGAGTCGAATTCATCATCTTCATCCTACTCGACATTAAACGATCTACAGGACAGTGCTTTCCTCGTCTTGTGTCTATTCATTTTACTAACCGCACACCTAGAATTGAACCCCTTTTCACCTCGTCATGCATTTCTCATGTTCCGTGTAACGAAATGCTTTTTTGTCCATGCGTTATCTCTGCTTGCCATAGCCAACCGTTCGTTAGTCCCCGCTTCAAGTCCCCCGATTATCATGATTACTTGCTTCTCCACTCCTCTGACATAAGTTTGAATTTGTACTTGATTTCTCTCGATCAATTCTCTTCTTCTAGTCATCAAACACATGGAAAACATTGAATTCTCTTCAGCTTTGTTGTGAGCCGGTTGACACAGTGAAAACATTTTGGCCTCCCATGCCTGGGATACGGAGGTCAAATTCGCTGCAGGCCGTTAGATATACGTCACTGGTGAGCGCTAACAATGAGAAAACTCAAAACTATTGCTTTCTGAGTTCATGGTTAACTGAACAAACTGCAGATTTTTTGTCGTAATAGCAAGTTCACTTTAAATCAATAGCGCCCTCTCCAAATCACTACCTACCTGTAACTGTCAGTTTAATTGGAAGAATTAAAATAACGCAGAGGTTTAAGACCGTCCAGTATAGATCGAAACCCAAACAGAATGAAGTTTATATTTATATTAAAAATACTTAACGCAATGTTGAGATGCTGATATACCTTCAGGTCTATGGACTTTATCACATTCAATTTACTTGAAGTTCATCGCTTATCATTGAAATTTCCCATAAGCTCAAGGGGAGTCAAGAAATACTACAGTATACCACAACTGACAGCTGGTTGTTTTGATTCCACTCCAACTGGTTTATAAGATCTTGTAATCATGTCTACCGACCAGTCAAACTAAGGATTCAAAGGTTTCTAAATTACCGAATTAGTGCTTAAATTCAGCTGTATCATTAATTACATCCTCTGTCAGGTCATCCTATGAACTACCATTAGAAACTTAAATTCCAAGCAATAAATAGCTCTCTCTTTTCAAAACACCGTTGAGAAAAATATAATGAACCAATCGACATCATTTGTTCTAAGTTTTTTGAAGCATTAAAAAGGTTTTTAAATAAAAGAATTCCGTTTTAGCCACTTTCAATGAAGTTGCTACGTATGATCATAACGAAATGTATTCTCCATTTTGATGGAACTTAAATCATAGTATGTCTCATGTCATATATATATATATATATATATATATATATATACGGCTTCCCATG